GGGTCCCGACATTATTCTGAGGGCCTGGAGAGCCAAGAAAGGGTTTTGAGTAAGGGGGGCGGGTGCAAAAGGACTTGGTTTGGGATAGAGGAATAGAGAGGTTGATACTTGTTGAGTATTTCAGTGCCAGACCTTTTATTTTCTTGTTTAATCCTTGGCATGACTTTTCACATTGGGAACCATCAGAGCATTTTATAGATACGAGCCTGTATGCAGCCCAAGGAGGTAAAATATCACAGCCAGCTTGTCACACACAGCTCGGAGGGAATCCGGGATCCCCACATTGGTCTCTGAGCCCCCAGACACCTGCTTTCCCCATCGTGGCACTCTGCCCTTGACATCCCCACCCTCACCCTTGTCTGGCTCCATGGGGGGATCTGCTACTCACCGTCAGTAACAGAACAAGAGGAGTGGGCTGATCCTGCTCTAGAGAGACTTCTAGTAGGGAAGGTTCCATTAGGGACAGGGACGCCCGTTGCTCCTGCCGTCGTCTCTTTCCCATTTCCTCCCTGACAGCTTAGTGAAATCCTCAGATCTGTAAGAAAAAGGTAAAACTGATCACCCCAAGACCTGTGATGCTCACAGTCTCACACAAACCAACCCCTAAGTAACAGACTGGCATTTTTATTTCTGGAAATCGCTGCCACTTCTCCAACCTTGTTTGTCTTGGACTGTCCAAAAGTGAACACAGTCCAAATCGGATTTGGCATCAGGTCGACCCTGAGGCCAGCAGGGCCTTTGCTCACCACCCCTCCAGCCTTGACCTCTTCTTAACCTGCTTTCTAAAACTGCACAGCCTTTCCCTGTGTCCTTTCCTCCCTCCTTGGCTTGCTGTAGCCCTACAGTGTTTTCTTCACCTCCAGGGCTCATGTTGGCTCCCGGTGTGCAGACTCACTGGCTGGACACTCTGGCCCTCTTTACCTTCCTGGTGTCATCACCTGCTTTTCTGTTGGCTTGCTGTTGGTGGAGAAAGACCACCAAGAAATGGGGTACAGCTCTGTGTGTGTGGGCTAGCGCAGGAGCCTGGACCAAGGACCATCAGCAAGGATGCAGATGACAGTTTCTTCTTGCTTCTGAGTTAACGTGTCTGCTTTCTTAGGGTGGAATGTCCCACTAGGAATAGAGGTGGCTACATGGTTCTCTCGAGCCTGTGCACAGCACTTCTCAGTTTGTAAGGGCTATCCTGGCAGTGCTCAGATTTTCTTTGCCCAGCAACCGGGTATAACACATGAATGAGAGCTGATCATAAGTTTACCACGTACCAGGCACTGAGCGTAGCTCTCCATGGCCATGAGCCCACATCTAACCTCTCTCTGTATGGATGCTTGGGACCCAATCTTGTGGATGAGAAAATTGTGATTGGGAGATTCATTCCTTTGTCCAAGGTTGCCCAGCTTCTATGTGGTAGCATGAGAGTTGACGAAGTCTTTCTGACCCTTTGACTTTCTGTGCCCCCAACTATGCTCTACTGTTCCAAGTATTCCTAAGTCCAATTTACAGGCGAGTAAGTTGAGGGTCCATAGGAGCCATGCTGAAGCTAGTGCGAAGCTCAGCTGCACTACCTTGCATAATGGACCTCCTGGCTCTGTGCCTCAGTTTCCTTACTTCACATAGGACAAAGATACCTCACGTGCACAGTTGTAAAAAGGTAAATGACAGAACACCTGTGAGGTGTCTGGTCCGGATTAAGAAGGATTTGGGTCTCCGGACAAGTTTTGCAGAACAGGCATTGGGGTGCAGAAGGTCAGGCTGTTGATTCATTCATTCCTTCATTTGTTCATGTACATGAGATAGACCCTTGCTGAGGCTGATGATAGCAGCATAGCTAACAATCTGTGAGCGACGGCCGCATCCCCCACATGGCACCAAACACTACACACATCTTACTTAGCCTCACAGTGACCCGGTGAGCTGACACTGTGAATACTGCCCTTATTTAACCAATCACAAAGCCAAGGCTCTGAAAGGGAAAGTGACCTAGAAGGTCACGTAGCCTCTAAGGCGTAGAATCTGGACTAAAATCGTGTCACTCTGAGGCCAGCCCTTAGCCACTATGCCAGATACTGCTGGAGGGTGTCGGAGGCAAAGTGTGGGGCTTCCTGCCTTCCAGGAGCTGCTTATCTGGATTTAGGAGCTGATCCAGGATTGCAGGGGTGACCAGGGAGGGCAGTTTGGATGCAGTGCAGGCAGGGAGGGGCGGTCATGGGTGGAAGTGGGCAGTTTGGTTAGGCTTTATCTTTCCCAGGTCATTGTTAATCCTGGGATCTGGCCACAGGGTCCAACCCTCATAAACGGGGTGGGCGGGAGGGGCTGAGAATGAAGGGCCCTGGACCAGGCAGGGCCTGACCCTCACAGCCAGTGAAATGCCCAGAGGTGTGAAAATAGGCAAGGAGATTTCCCTAAGGATGTCAGTAACCAAAATGAAACACTTTGTGAAGAGCAGCTTTAAGCGTGCCCCTCGAATCCTGGATCTTTCCCATTTTCTCCTCTCTTCCCTGTGGTCTGTGGGAACCATCATGCTATGCAATGAAGCCTTGTGTTCAGATCCCTGCTTTACCACATCCTGGCCTTTTGTACACAGATGGACCTAGGATCAAAACCTGTGTGACTTCAAGCAAATTACTTAACCTCTCTGAACTGCCTTTTCCTCATCTCATCAAGAGAACAGACACTACAGTCCCATCACATAGGGTTGTCATGAAGATCAAATAGCATGAAGTAGTAAGGAGAGGGCCTGCTATTGTTTTAGCAAGTGTTCTTCTGCCTCCTTTCTCTCTTCACTGTCCTTGCTGTTACCTCTTTCCTTTATACTCCTCCCTCCCTTCCTCTGTCTCCTCCCTTTCTTCTCTGTGGTGGAAAAACTGACAAGTAATACCCTGTCAAACGAGACTTCTAGACACAGAGCAATTGTTATTGTATGTTCTGTGGAGGGAAAAAAGGATCTGTTCTTGTTTTGGGGGGCTCTAAGGGTCAGGAACCATGCACACACACCCATTTTATATGTATTTGACAGAGTATACACACACACACACACACACAGAGAAATGCATGTACTTGTAGATTTACTTGGTTTGTATACTTGTTCTTCAGTTCTGACATCCAGAGGAAGCTTCCTGGGGATTCCACAGCAACTCACTCCTGAAGTCAAGGCAGGGCGGCTGGCCGTACCTGCATGCCTGGGGACCTCTTAGCCCATTTTCCCACCCACTCCGCACCTGCCATGGAGGTGATGAATTCCAGCTTACTGACCCGAGGGCCTTGCAAAAAGAACGTGACAGCTTTCTGGTGTAGGCAGCAGGATAGCAGATTATTTTAGTAATTTTAGCGTTCTTCCTGGCCTAAGGAGGTATGCCTAACAGAAGTCACAGCTAGAAACGAGGCTCAGCTTTTGCTCTGTTGCTCACCATGAGTTTCTGGGTCTCTCGATTTCAGCCCCCCCCCCACCCCATAGAGAGCAATCCTTCCCAACCTTGGAGATTACCCCCAGGGACTCAACACAGCAACCTCCAGTCCCCCAACCACAAAGCACTGTCGGTAAGGGAGAAAAGCAAGGTAATTGAGGGGGGCTACTCGGTTCACTGAAGATGTTTCTGGCACAGAGTGAATAAAATGGAGCGAGGAGAATGCCTACCTATCAACTCCAGCCCTCGGCAGGTGCCATGGGGGATATAGACATGTTTGCAAGTAATCCTGCTCTTAAAGAACTCACAGAAAGGTTATTTCATGAGTCTCATGAATCATGTAACATTGTAAATTGTTCCAAGGTAAGGTATGGGAGGCAGACTCAATTGAATATTTGCCGGTGGGATGTATTAAAGAAAAATAAGCTTCAGTTTACCTTAATGTTCTTATTAAAAGAGCCCTAGAAAGCTTGCCTTTTTTTTTTTATTTAGTCGTTTAACAAGTATTTATTTATTTATTTATTTTTAAAAAGATTTTATTTATTTATTTGACAGAGAGAGACAGTGAGAGAGGGAATACAAGAAGGGGGAGTGGGAGAGGGAGAAGCAGGCTTCCCGCTGAGCAGGGAGCCCGATGTGGGGCTAGATCCCAGGACCCTGGGATCATGACCTGAGCCGAAGGCAGACGCTTAATGACTGAGCCACCCAGGCGCCCCCTAACAAATATTTATGAAGCACCTATTTTGTCTCAGGCCCCCTATTGGAAGTTACATATTAGCAGACTAGTGTTTCTAGGACGCCTGGGTGGCTCAGTCGGTTAAGCGTCTGCCTTCAGCTCAGGTCATAATCCTGGGGTCCTGGGATCGAGCCCCTTGTCAGGCTCCCAGCTCAGTGGGGAGCCTGCTTCTCCCTTTCTCTCTCCCTCTGCCTCTCCCCCTGCTCATGCTCTCCCTTTCTCTTTCTCAAATAAATAAATAAAATCTTTAATTAAAAAAAAAGATTAGTGTTTCTGATAATGAAGGAAATACAGACTGTGCAGAAATTATGTTTGACCTTATAATGTTGTCTCATATTTGCAGCAGGTTGGAAAAAAGGCTACCATCTCTTGATCCCTCAGTGGGTTCATTCTAGAGATGATGAAGCAAAGCTGAGAGAGCATGAGCAAATGTCCTGGGGTCACTCAGCTGATGGGAGGCAGAGTCGAAATTCAGATACTCACCTGTGTGAAGCCATGGCCCTTAACTCTTCCAGCATTTAGTTGTCTGCATTGCTCTGACGTGACCATTATCCATCTCACTTGCTCCTCGTGGCAACCTAATGAAGAAGGGAGGGCAGGGATTCTTACTCATCCTTGTACACATGAAAAACAAGGCTCTGAGAAGTCAAGCAGTTGGCCCAAGGTCACACAGTTGGTTTGTGGGTGAGAAAGGTTTGGAAGCAGCATCTCTCTGGCTTTAAAGCTGCGGCTGTCAGTTCCTGAGTCTTTATGAGCCACACCCAGGGATCTGGGCTGGGTGTAGTGGACAGGAAACCCCCCTCTGGCACTCTAGCCCAAAGAACGGTGGCCCATTCGCTTGTCCTTCTTCCCTTCTGCTCCAGGGTGGCCTCATCGCGCTGCTGCTTCTGCTGCTGGTGTTCACTGTGGCTCTGTACGCCCAGCGGCGCTGGCAGAAGCGCCACCGAATCCCCCAGAAGAGCGCGAGCACGGAAGCCACTCATGAGATTCACTACATCCCGTCCGTGCTGCTGGGACCCCAGGCCCGGGAAAGCTTCCGTTCCTCTCGGCTGCAGGCTCACAATTCTGTCATTGGCGTGCCCATCCGGGAGACCCCCATCCTGGATGACTATGACTACGAAGAGGATGAGGACCTACCCCGGCGGGCCAACCACGTCTCCCGGGAGGATGAGTTTGGCAGCCAAGGGACGCACACCCTGGACAGTCTGGGCCGGCCTGGAGAAGAGAAGGGGGACTTTGAGAAGAAAGGTGAGTCTTCCTTGTTACATCCCACCTTCCAGGGGGCCTTTTGGGGAGCTGGGAAGAGGCAGGGAAGCTGGGCGGTTGGGGACACAGGTGGTGTCTTCTGGGCTAAGCCATTCTGGATTTATGGCCAGTCTCTCTGTTGGGTTATCAGAGTTTGTCCTCTCTAGCTCTTCGGTAGTGGTGGTAGAAAGAAGAAAAAAAAGCCAGTGTTCTTGGAGTTTTGAGGAGCATCAGAAGTTATGTAGTTCAATATCCCTGCGTTATCTCTTGATTACCTCCCTCGATGGCCTTCTTACTACTCAGATGAGAGAATTTATCTCATTTTCAGACACTGCTGTTAGAAAGTTTTTCCATATATTGAGCTGAAATCTGTTTCCCTGCCCCTTCACATCCACAAAGAAAATGAATCTGATCTTCCTTCTCTAAGGCAGCTCTCGGAAAATTTGACAAGAGAAAAAAAAGACATCCTGTAACTTCTGGAAATCAACCTAAATAATCCCAGTTTCTTCAGCTAGACTTATGTGATGTAGTTTTCAGACATTTCACCATTCTGGCCACTGTCCTCTAGATGGAGAGTCTAATTTTTCATGTCTTAGAATGTAACACCAGAGCTAACACCCCTCTGCCCCAAGGTGGGAATGTTCCTGTGCTAAGCAAAATGGGACTTTCACCTCCCTTTTCCCAGCTGTTATGCTTCTATTGATGCAGCTTGAGAGCATGTTTCATGCCACGGTTGCTGGTTCCTATTGGGCTTTTTGATGACTGAAACCTCTCACCCTTTTCATATGGGCTGTTGCGGAGATCCGTTTCCCGGACGTTGGTGGACAATGGATTATTTGGACATAAGCACAGAGTGTGTTCATATTTGTCTTTATTTATTTTTTTTTAATTTATTTTTTAAAGATTTTATTTATTTTTTTGACAGAGACACAGAGAGAGAGAGGGAACACAAGCAGGGGGAGTGGGAGAGGGAGAAGCAGGCTTCCCGCCGAGCAGGGAGCCCAATGCGTGGCTCGATCCCAGGACCTAGAATCATGACCTGAGCCGAAGGCAGACGCTTAACGACTGAGCCACCCAGGCGCCCTTTTTTTTTTTTTTTTAAAGATTTTATTTATTTATTTGAGAGAGAGAGAATGAGAGAGAGCAAGCACATGAGAGGGGGGAGGGTCAGAGGGAGAAGCAGGCTTCCCGCCGAGCAGGGAGCCCGATGTGGGACTCGATCCCGGGACTCCAGGATCATGACCTGAGCCGAAGGCAGTCACTTAACGACTGAGCCACCCAGGCGCCCCATATATTTGTCTTTATTAAGTGTCTGTGGCACCAGCTTGTTCATAGATGGAATTTGGCTCTTGTCCTATAAATGCTGCAAAAAAAAAAAAATATGCTTTTTCCTCCTCATTGTCTTTGGGATGTGGGTGATAACGATGGGTTAAAGGCTTGGCCTGGAGACCCCCATTCTGACCCTGACCCGCTCCTTTTGTGAATTGAGAGAAACCCTTGCTGCTTGGGCCAGTCCTGGAGCTCTGAGCGCTACATCCTACTTCTCTGCTTCTGAGGTCCTTACTCTTGGACCAATCTTGGACCAATAAGGGGGTTTCTTAAAAGGAGACATTTTTGGGCACCTGGGTGGCTCAGTTGGTTAAGCGACTGCCTTCGGCTCAGGTCATGATCTTGGAGTCCCTGGATCGAGTCCCTGGATCGAGTCCCGCATCGGGCTCCCTGCTCGGCGGGGAGTCTGCTTCTCCCTCTGCCCCTCCCCCCTCTCGTGTGCTCTCTCTCTCTCAAATAAATAAATAAAAAATCTTTAAAAAAAAAAAAAAGGAGGCATTTTTGTCAAGCCTCGAAACCCGCAGAGGGGTGACAGTGAGACCGGCTACGTGCAGGTTTTGGAACCAGCTGGACCTGGGTTCAAATCCTGCCTCCTTTATTTACTGGGTGACCTTGAAAAACAGGAATTCAACCCTCTGGGTCTTAGTTTCTTCACCAAAGGGTTCTGGAAGGATTCAATATAACAATAAAACATGTGCAAAATGCCTACCCCAGGTCCTCGTACGTGTCAGGTGTTGGATCCCCGAGAGCTGTGTTTGTAGACTTCAAACCCCTGGTCTTAGCTGGGCTTCCTGAATGTCCTTAATCCACGTCCGGTATTCACCTCCAGTCTTCTTTTATGTTCCAGCCACCGTGGTCTGGGATATTTCCCTTGTCCTCCATGGTCACTCCTGTCTTTGAACTGTTGGTTTCCGGACATCCCTCCCCACCCCCGCTCCAGCCCAAGCAGTGGAGATGAGCAGATTGCACTGAACCCCACTCCTGGGTTCACTGGTGCCATGTCCTTGGGCAACCCTCTTCATCATCCCTGCAAGACCGTGCCTTCACCTCACCTGTTTTCATCTGACCCACAGTATTTTTTTTTAATGTTCTGCCTCGGCTTTAAAACAAAGTAAAATTTGAAATAACACAAAGCCCTTCACTTAGTCCTGGATCCAGCCCCGCTTAGATCCGATAAGGATGGAAGAGGGAGAAATCCAGGCAAGAGAAGTGGAGGGCATGCTTGTCCTGACTCCACACAGGATTCTGGTCACCCTGACCATGGGGAGGTGGCTGCTATGGGCTGTTCTTGCAGCATTATGGTCCCTGAGCACCTGGTCCTCCTTGTGTAGACACGAGAGGGATGATTCCACTGGCAGATTGCAGAAGATTTCACAGCAGCTCAGCCCTGATGAGTGCTCTGTTGCCTCTATTGGAGCCTTGGGAGAGAACCATGAGGCGCTGTCTTTTGTGGGGTGACCTGGGACCGGCTATGGGTTTTGTCAAGAGGGGACAACTCTTCAGAGGTTGGGCAACCCATTGAAAAGTAATCCCACAGCCTTTTTGAAATTATATTGCCAAAAGCTAATCCCATCTGCACCTTTCCCACTTAGATTTTGCCTATCAATTCAAACTTTTTCTCCATTCTCAAGCTCCGTCAGCCTGCTTTTCAGCTTGGACTTGCAAATAATAGAGGGGACACTCAGGAGAGCAGAGGGAGAAAATTCCATTACCAAGGGGCCACTGCTTGGGTTTCCAGACCCCAAGAGCATTGTCCTGAGCAGGTTTGACATTCAGCTGATACACACCTGTGTGGCCAGACCCTTTGTTAAATACTGAACTTCTTCTGTGTCTGTTGGTAAGTAGCTCGCTGTCCTGAGCTCTCCCAGTGCCTTCCTGCTTCCTGGCCATCCCAGCCCCTCCCCAAGAAGCCTCCTGAAACTACCACTCTCTAGGAACAAGGTGGCTTTAGGATACTTCTCCAGGATTATGGCTGGCATCTTGTCTTACTAGTTGGTGCCTATGCCTTAGAAGTTCTCAGGTATTTTGAATGTCACTGCTGAATATCACCTTAGCACATTGCTGTGGATTTTAGCATGCCAGTATATGAATGCTCGGTGCTGTGTTTGGTACATAACAGAAACCTGATGCATTTTAATTCCAATTCTCCTTATCCATCCTTAAATTTATGTTTCCCTTCCCTGAATATTGTGCATGAAAGCTCGAGGAAATTAAAATAACAAATTTATCACTTTATCAAGGGAAAGCGTGGGGGATGGCTGAATGGATTGGCTTTTCTTACTTCTGTTTTATTATTGTGAAAAAAAAATGCATGCTGTTTGTAATTGAAGGAAGAGAAGGAAGGAGAGAATGGGAAATAGAAACAGAGACAGAGACCTTTATTTAGCTATCTATCTGCTGTTCTGGGAGCTTTCCATGAATTATGTCATTTACACCTCACAATAACCCTGTGAGTTGGGTACTAATTCTGTTCCCACTCTACAGTGCAAGAGACTAAGGCAAAGAGGGGCTGAGTAACCTGTCCAGGGTCACACAGCTGGGAAGTGGCTGAGCCAGGTCGCATCTCCAGCACAAGAGCGGTCACGGTAGGGGCAGAGCTGGGCAGTGAACACCCCACCCCACACTGCGTGTCATGGTCTGGGGAAGGCACCGAGCTCGTACAATCGCAGGGATAGCTAAAGCGTAGCAACCATGAACTTGCTTTATCCACAAATTGGGGAAGAAAAATAGGTAATTAACATCTGTTCTCAGAGGCAGGAAGCTGCTACACAATAATTCTGAGCTTCTAAATTGGCTTCCTGAAGGGACTTTGCAACAGGGAGACCCGTTTTGTTTTTAGTGTTTTGAGGGGTCCCCAAGAGTATAAGAGAGTTGTGTTGGTGTCAACAGAGCATTCTAGGGTGATAGAAACCCGGAAAGCTGTTTATTAACTCACCTTTCTGACACCCCCGGTGAATGCCATGTAAATGTCATCATTGTGTAGCGCTTTCTAAAATTTCAGAGCTCTTTGTACGCAGTACCTCATTCAAATGCCTTGGTGTTCAAATTTCTTCACACAGAGGCTCTAGCCTAAGCTTCTAGCCCTCTCTGCTTCAGCCCTGCACAGCCATTTCCTCTTCCAGCCACATCAGTCTTCCTGGCATCCCCCTAACACCTTATCTTCACAAGTCTTCAATTCTATGCCTGTCCTCATTCATCCATTCTTCCCGCTGCAGCAGCTCAGTTATGGTCTTAGTGCTTTCATGCTGAAAGTTTTTCCAGGGCTCTCACTGCTGTTGACCTCAGCCCCTATATTCTAGCCAGTGGCCTCCTCTCTGTTCTTCATGCTTGCCGAGCTGCTTTCACCACAGGCCCTTTGCATATGCCACGATTATCTTTGCCTGGAAAAATCCCCCTCTTTCTTTCCTCAGTCTGTCATGGCTGACTCCTTCTGGTCATTCTGGCGTCAGCTTAAATCCCACCTCATCAGACAAAGCTCTTTTCTCTATGTGAGCTCTGTTCTTTTACCTTCTATCAACTCCCCTGTTTATTTTTTAAAATTATTTATATTTATTTATTAAATATTTTAATTTTCTCAACAGATTCAGGGTTCCATGAGATCACAGACCAGGTCCGTTTGGTTTGTTCTGTGCCTACTGGAGCATCTGACATGTAATAGGTGTTGGGTCAGTAGA